ATGTGTTTTTTTTAATGCAGTTTTAACATTGCTGACTCTTCTACCACCATGGAAACAGAACTGCAGTATTAACTAAGCTTCACAGATCTGCAACACAAGAATCTATGGGAAGTGGGCAAATATTTATTATGTGCTTGTGAAAAGCAAAGAGCCAAACTAAGAAGCATTTTTGTGTTTAGAGTAATGTATTGTGCATTTCAAAACGTCGTTTGGGTCCAGATGATTGTAATTTGGAGAAGATTATAGTGTTTCCATGTTCCGATATTTATCACAGCTTAAAATTTTCTTGTCTGTAACCTTTTTTGTTAGCTTAAGTTTCACGGACTTCGGTTCGTTCATAAAATGCCCAGTTCTTGTTATTATTTTGTCATATTTTGTGTATGTCCAGGTGAGCACTGTGTAGAAAAGCGAAGTAAAATGTGATATTTTTAGGTAAATAGGAGAATAAAACCTGTTTTGCTAAAAGTGATAAATATTCTGGAGCATTCCTAAGTATTCTATACCTGAGTTTCATATAATTTCGATACGATTACGTATTGTTTGTGATTTCTGTCTTATTTATAAATTTACTATTTAATTCTTCAAAATTGGCATTCTGTTTGCAATACATAATAATAAATGTTATTTAATGTAAAAATAAGTGTCTATTCAAATATATTTACTTAATACTTTTTATAAATGAAATAATTTCTTCTTTCTTTGTTATTCATCTGAATACTTGTGACTGTTTCATGAAATCTTTGCAAGGGAAAATTTAAATTATTATTATTGTTATTGTATAGTTGGAAGATTATGGATAGCTTAAGTATTAGTTACTTAGTATAAGTAACAGTATAAGAATATGATGATTATTCTTCTGACCAAAAATTCATTCATACTCGTAATAAAACCTGAGTTCACCTCATTACTTGACTACTTGTGAGGTTGATTTAAACCCTCTATGTGAAAAGAAATCATTGCGTAAAATTTATATGTGAAGTAAATAATTATTACAGAAAACTTCAATAAATTAAAAAAAATTAAAAAAAGGATTTTTTGAGTTGGGTACGCATTGTTTACCACCACTGATCTTACCATTATCCAAGTTATACTGAGGCCTTTCTTTTTTTAGTATAGTATAATTTAAAATCAGCTAAAAAAATCATTGATATTTCTGGTACTTTATTCAAAAATAAAACGAGTGAAACATTTCATGGCTAAATCCTGCATCAGCACATTAAATTCTTATATTATTCTTATTCAGATTTCAAGCTGCGCTTTACAGGAAATTTTTCAGATAGGTTTCTTTATAATCTGTATGGAATGTGAACATGAATCCTCATTATTCTATATTTTAAATTAAGATTTAGTCAGTCCATTGATTTTAAATGCTAAATGCGTCAATTTATTTCTTTATTTCACTTTCAACTAAAAGTATTTAATATTATACAAAGGATTATATATATATATTATATATATATATATATATAATTGATAATAATTTATATTATATATATACATTGAATAATATTTATATATATATATAAATTGATAATAATTTTATACTAAAAAACTTTCCATATACCATCTCCAAGAACACAAATTCAGTTTAATGCATGAATGAAAAAAAATTTAGTCAGAATTTAAATAGTATTTTTTAATAGTAATATCAACTTCCGGTTTAAAATCTGCTAAAAAAATTCTTTAATCGCAAAAATACCAAAACCAAAATTAAATATTAAGTATATATATATATAAATTTGAAAAAACCTTAGGTCAACTTGTTATCAACCACCACGTTATACAAGATTATAGCAAATGTAATTGCCTAATGCCTGTCTTCAAAAAATATGTCGATCCTTTCCACCAACATGTTATTACTGGAGATCTTAATATCATTGAAGATACAGAATTACGAACCCTTATGCAACTTGGCACCAAATTTCGTCCTACTTTCGGTATTAATAAGCACGTTTGCCTCAAACAATTCAATAATGATCTTGATAAATTTATCATATTAGCTAGTAATAGATCCAATTTACCTACTACAACTTTTCTTGAATGGAAAGCTGCACTAATTAAAGAATTTCAACATTTGCTATTCAAGTCACCTTTTTTCAACTCTTTACACAATAAAAAACGTCTAGAGGATCTTATTCAAAAACTTGCAAGATCACTTTATCATCACGAAGATTGACAAAGCAAGCAACAATTTTAGTGTTATTTGACAACAATTTTACTTCAACCTTCTGCATAAAGAGTTAAATAACACCTGCACTTACCAAAAAATCACTACCAGTACTAAGGTTCTTCTCAATAAATTTAAGCACTACATAAAAGGACTAAAATACAACCCCAGAAATATAACAACAGGTTTGCCAATCTCTATGCCTTACCAAAATTTCATAAGTCTCCAATAAATTCAGGTTCATAGCTAATAGTACCAAAAGTTATCTCAAAGAAATAGATTATCTCTTTGCACAAAAACTTCGTATGATACGTGACCTAATTAATAACTATGATTTTAAGGAATTGCATTGCAACTGGATGATCTCTAGTAACGAACTAGTTCTTAAAACTATGAATTCACTTAAAATAGACCATATCCAATTGCTACGACTTTGAAAACCTCTATACATCTCTACCACTTGAAGAAATTTTACAAGTTTACTTGCTCTTCCAGATTTATTTCCGCAAATTTCTACCATTATTAGCAACGAAAAATGAGCAACTTTTCCTCTCCAGCGTGCTCTTCAATAATTTTATTCAATTTAAACAATAGCATCTTTAAACAAGTGCAGGAAAATCCCAATGGGTGGTAATTTTTCAAGCTCTGTCTGTGAATTATTCCTTTTTACAAAAGAATTGACCTTTGTCCGTTCACTCAGTACAGAAGAACATACATTTTTTACCAACACATCTATTGAATGATGTCATTGCATTTAATAACTACAACCAAATAGAAGTTGCTAATATCTACCCTACATGCTTAAAACTAAATAAACAAATACAGAACAGCATAATGTAGTCTACCTTGATTTACATATTATAGATTACAATTTTATTAAAGTTTACGACAAAAGAAGAGAATTTAATTTTTCCACACTTAAATTAACTAACTGGAATTCAAATATTTCCAAAGAGTCATACTTAACACAATTTATTCACAGCTACTTAGAATAAAAAGAATTTGCAATACTGCAAAACACCTACAAAAAGAAATACTATACTTCGTAACTATATTGAAAAGTAACCTAATTCCTCATAAAATAATTTAAAATACCTTAAAAAAAAGCTGGCATTAGCCTTACCCTATTTTTAGATTTTTTGAGTTAGATAGTGATATTTTAAGCTGAAAGCCTAATGGGAAGGTATAAAATGGATGGCTGATTCAGAGAATCTAATGTAAAAAGTGTACAGATAATTCTTGTTACTACATTTTCTTTCCTCCAAAAAATTTTGGCACAATACTTTTAATACTATTGTTTAAATAGTTTTAAATTTCTATAATGGCCAATTTTACTGCTTTTATTAACAAATTGGGCTTTTTTCGTTTTTCATAGTAGCTTGATCGCCCCGCTAGCTTGAAGAATTACGACTTTTTTTAACAAATGACTGTTTTTTCCTTTTTACTCTTACTTTAGTGGCCAAGTTTAGTAGTTTTAGCTGAATTAGCCATTTTCACTTTCAGTAACAATTTTTTCTTCCAACAACTTGACTGACGCCATTTTGAAATCTTTACACGTTTTTCCGAGCTTTCCGACCCCCTTCGAAAATTAGAGACGAGTTTACAGCTAACGGACAGTTTTTTTCGTATTGGCTGATGCCCAAAAGACATCGCTCCCCCCTACTTACGTCACACGACGAGTGGGATCACGCTGAAGTCCACAGAAGGGAATTACAACCCCTATTCAACTTAGTTTTTAGAGGGAGAGTTCTGCATCGCCACAGGTCAGTTTTTTCTGTTTCTTTTACTACAACTTTTTCTTGGTCTTACCAAGACCCACTGTGATTGTTTTCATTTAAATTTGCATTTAAATTTAATTACAGACTTCTAAATTTTATAAAGGAATAAATCTTGCTTGCAGGTCCAGCCCGTATGTTGTTGTATATTTAGGACTAATAGCAGACCGCTATTTATTTTTATTTTTATTTTTATTTTTATTTTTGTCTTGATTTTTGATGTAATCAGAATAGTTTTTACATATTTTAACACCTTAATGTGTCATTTTGTGCGGGCGCGTCGGGAAATTAGGAACAGAGAATTGAGACTAATAAATTTTCCAAGACACTTTGTCTAATTAAAAAAAATTTTGTAGCGAAAAAGTTTCAATTGTCTGTTTCGGCGAAACGCGTAATGGGAGTTAGCTTGATTCGTCGACGTTCAAATTAGATATTTCCCTTGAAAAGCCAGATTGGAACCTCGAATTCAGCTAATTTACCATTTTTCCCGCTTTCTATTTTTTTATCTGATTTTGTTTGTTTTATGTTTTAACTTGTTTCCTTGGTTTGATTTTCATATGTTTTAATTTTTCAAGTGTCACATCCCAGGTATTTTTACTTTATTTTTTTGCCATTACTAGTTTCCAACGCTAAGTATTTTACTGTGTTTATTTTCTTTTCTCGTGTAGCATAATTTCTCACCCTTCAATAACATTTTTTTAAAATGTGTTGAACTTTTTGGAGCCACAGCTCCTGGTAACTTTTAGGCGAGCTTACTACAATTTCTAATTTACTTAATTTTGCAGCATATTGCGCAAAAAGTTATCTAGACCACATTGGTCATACAGTATTGTACTAACTACCTTGCTTGTTATATTTTATATATATATATATATATATATACATAAATAAACCCCCAAAATAACATTGCAAAGCAAAATTAATATTGCCAGGATTATGAATAATCTTTTAAAAATTTTGTTTTTCAACTACTTCATTACGGCTAATATGACTTCGAGCTACATGCGTACTAAAGTAGCAAAGACCTAGTAACTAAAAAAATGTGTGTCTTTTTTCAGATGACAAGGCTGATATTGGAGAATTTTCTCTGATAAGAGAAAAGCGCTCTATGGACCGCAATAATGGCAGAAGACAAAATCGCAATTCTAATAACCGAAATTCAACTAATTCAAATGGAAGGGATGGAGGAGGAGGAAGAGGTGGAAATGGAAATCGGAATGGGAGTGAAGATGGAAATGGTGGAGGTTCCAATCAAAACAGAGGAAGTCGAAATTCAAGTCGAAGGCGGAATGGAAATCGCAGGACAACATCTGATTCTTTTTCTACAACTCAATCAGACAATGAAGAATAAATTCAGTTCAGAAGTTCCAGTGTGACTATAATAAATGCATCTCTTTTCTATTTTAATCAGACTAATCATTTTGTCAATTCTGTGGAGTTATTTTGTTTTTGAAACACAGAAAGAAGCAATAAAATGAAAAAGATATGATGGTCACATTCATTAACGCAAATTCAATTCATTAATTTTGAAAAATAAATGCATTAAACGTAGTCAGTAGATATGTTTTCAGTTCAATTTTTTCTCGTTCTTTTGTAAGACATTTAATGCCATGTATAACCATTTAATTCCAGTTTTAATTAAAAATCATACCTAAATTTTTAGATATTTCTCATAATGTGATTGCTCTACATTAACTGATACAGCCCATTTGATGATTTCATGATTTTCATAATGCTTCAAAATATTAGACCTGAAAATCGAATGACGATATTAAGTTTATAATATCAGTGCATATTAGCCTCAGGAAACTGCTGAGTTTCTCAAAAAAGCTTTTCTTACATTAAAATTAAAATGTGCTGACATTAGTATACATAAAGCATAACGCATATTTACAAAATAAGTTTTAAAAAATCTCCTGGAAGGCTATTTAAACATAAATGAGGAGGAAACATGTAATTTTTCAGAAAAGAAAACGTTTGAAGAAATCTTATGCTCCTTTAAATGGATTTGTTTTAAATCTAGGCTAGTAATAATTATAACATGAAGATAAAAAGAATAAAGATGAAAGATGTAAAGAGATCCTATTTATTCTTAATTATCTTCAAAAGTTTAAAAAAACGATTGCGAATATGTTCTTTTCTAATCTTTTCAAATTAAATTTACTTACTACTGGCTAAGCCACTATTATACAACGTATACACCATGTCCATTTAAGTCGTTTTGCTATTTCTATTTTGGCAACCGTTCATCCAACATATATACGTAGTGTATGTATGTAAACATATAAGTAAAATATATAAACATATACCTAAAATATATAAACATATACCTAAAATATATAAGCATATACCTACAATAATAAAAATATTTTAAACTACCCAAACATTCAGAATAAGGCATTTTTAAACTTTAAAAGTTAAGTTTGTAAAAATTACAAAATCTTAATTTTATATGATTCTTATAGTTGTTTAATAAATGTTTAATAAAGTTTATACACATTCTTAAAAAAAAGAAAAAAAAAAAAAAAAAAAAAAGGCATAACCATTAGACTCCCACAAGAAAATAAATTGACACAATATTTAATTTTAAAGTAAGGGAGTTTTGTAGATTTTATAGGGCCTTATCTCCCTTCTTGAGTTACCGGTTAAATCAATAAAATAATTCAAAGCTGACTCCCCCCCCATTTAGTCTCAAAAGCTCCGTTCACAAGAGCAGATTCGATCGGTAGCGAAAACCGGTTCTTACAACGTGTCCCATTCATATGGGAACAACCATTAACTGTCTCGCCGAATTGGAGGTAGAACTTGGTTGAATCAAAGAATCCTTCGCCGGGAATCGAACCGCGGACTTCTGGAATACGCGTCCAGCGTGCAGACCAGCACACCACGAAGGCATGCAAAAAGGCGGGAGAAATACCTTATATACTTAATTTGCGTACAAATAATATTAAAATTGCAAGTGTTGGTTAATTTGTGCCTCTATATTGTGCTTCTGTGCGAACTAACACGCGCCGAGTGTTGATAACGTAAACGGGGTAATTTATATTATGTATGTGGATGGGAGAAAGGGAGTTTGTAAATTTTAGTTAGCTTTTAGACAACTTTAAATTTGATACTTTTATTATATATGCCAATTTCTTCCGCTTAGAACTTAGCTTGGCTGCTTGAAATGAAATATACACCCAAAATTACTCACGAGTAAAAGCGCGACATTTGAACGACCCTTGTAATGTCCGCACCTGCATTTTAGTGATGTAATTTTATTAAAAAAAGTTCGGACATTGCGTGAGCGTGTACGGTAATTCACTACCTATAGGAATATTTTTTTTAATTACTCAAGATTGATTTAAAACTAAGATTAAACGACTAGAAATACACTCATGTCCAATTAATTAAGGATAATTCGGAGTCACGCGGAAATCGTACTCTAAAATAAATATATCACTTGTAGAATCACTACACATATCTTCAAGAATCTTATGCAAATTTCAAGAAGTAACCAGATGACACCGATGGTGCGTCACAATGACGAGAGTGTAAGAGAGTGATATATAAGGAATACAGGCAAAGAAGTAAAATTATTCGCAGGCGCTTTATAAGCATTTCACTGCAATAACCGAATAGTTATGACACAAAGGACGCATTTGGATGATTTTTTACGTGGTAGAATTATCGGCCGTCTGGAATGTGGGCGTACCCAACTGGAAGTATCAGACGAACTTGGAATTGCCCAGAGTGTCATCTCCAGGCTTTGGCAACGATTCCAAGATGATGGTAATGTGAGTAGACGTTACAGCACAGGTCGCCCCACAACGCCGGTATGCGGTAATGAGGACCGGTATTTGGCAGTTACTGCCAAAAGAAACAGGCGGAGCACAGCCTCAGACCTGTCTCGTCAGCTCTCTTCAGCCACTGGTACGACAATTTCAAGGCAGACCGTGTACAGACGCTTAGGGCAGATTGGTCTATATGCTCGTAGACCTGTCAGATGCGTTCCACTTACTGCAACTCACTGTCGCCTGCGGTTAGCCTGGAGTAGAGAGCATGCATTGTGGACACCGCAACAGTGGGCTTGTGTGATGTTTTTCCGACGAGTCCAGGTTTAGCTTGCAGTCTGATTCTCGCCGGACTTTCATATGGAGAGCTCCAGGTACCCGTTACCACCAAGAAAACATCATTGAACGACACCGTTACGGTGGTGCAGGAGTGCTCGTTTGGGGTGGAATTATTCTGGGTTCCAGAACTGACCTGCATGTTCAAATTGGAACCATGACAAGCCAAATCTATCGGGACGTCATTCTGGAACAACATGTACGTTTGTTTCGGGGCGCCATGGGCGCACAATTTGTGTTTATGGATGACAACGCCCGTCCTCACCGTGCAAACATCGTAAGCGAATGCCTTCAATCGGAGGATATCACCCGTATGGACTGGCCAGCATTCTCACCGGACTTGAATCCAGTAGAGCACGTGTGGGACATGCTTGGCCGACGAGTTGCAGCCCGTCAACCTCCTCCTACATGTCTACCGGAACTTCGGAGAGCATTGCTTTTTGAGTGGTGTAATATCCCCCAAGATCAGATCGATAATTTGATACTCAGCATGCCTAGGCGTTGTACGGACTGTATTGCATCGTCTGGGAGACATACAATGTATTAACAATCATACCAACCATGTAATATTGGTTTTTTGTAAATAGGTTTTTTTTTTTTTTTTTTTTTTTTGTAATTTGCTCCAGGGAGAAAAAATCGCTAATTTTTTTAATAATATCAAACATATAGCATCATTTTTTTTTTGCTCTTTACCTTTTGTTTAATAAATAAGCTTTACAAATAAGTCAAATTTGTTTTGCTTCTAACTCTTCCTTTGCCTGATTTTGCATTATCCTTAATTTATGGACATGAGTGTAAAATGAATTTCATTGAGAAAGAAATATTGGTGAAAAAGGTGTTAGGCTAAAAATAGAATTAAAAATTAAAAAAATTGGCTAATGCCTATTGAGTGGAAGATAAAGCTTGCACGAGTTGTCATCCCCCGTGCCGTTTCGAGTGATATGAATCGTTACAAGAAAGCAGAGCTCTTAGAAATGCATTTTGCCTCTAGGGTTGCAGATGGAAATGAGGCAGCTGCTCAAAGAATATGCATGGAAAAATCCTTCATTGTACAAGCTTCGTGTTTGTGTAACGATACACACCGCTTGCAGTTCGCACATTGGACGGGCAATTTACCCAGCTGAACGCTTTTATCCTCCGCTCAACAGCACTCCCTGCAACCCCACCGCGCCATTTTAGCACACACATTCCAATACAAAATCTGCTTATTACGATCTCTTCTGTCTGCTTTTATATTTTCACCAGATGTTTTCTGAGCAAATTGTATATTACGATGCGATCAATATTTATTTTTACAACCCGAGGATAAAACTACGATAGATTTCAAGTGATATTTCCTTGATATAACTCATAATCTTGAAAAGTGATTGTATTCTCCCGAAACATTTTGCTTTCTCGTAACTCGAATATACCTTAATCTGCAATGAATTTATTTCTTGGCATTCAAGATTCATAAGAAAATGTTTAGTTGAAAAGAGATTCTCTTGCTAAACGAGGGAAAATTCAGAATAAAATCTTACAAAACCATGGAGGCCATGTACAAAACGGAGGGGAAAAATATTGGTTTGTTTCATCTGCGCTTTTTATTTATTTTTATTTATTTATTTTTTATTATTGTATTTCTAATTGTATCTGAAACAAATAATAGCACTTATTTCAAAATTAGCGAAAGCTTTTATAATTAGCTTGTCATTGGGCAAAAGACGTATACTAATGTATCAATTGAGCCTATGTTTACTCGTAAATATTTTAGATAGAAAGCAGTTCCTCTCATTTTGCGCTGAAGCTGGCATATGCAAAGTGCTGCATCATATCTACCATACGTAGTATTTACGAAATTCCCTCACCTGTATACTATCGATTGCATTAAGATCGAAAGTTCATATTTGGGATGAAACTCCGCAACAACACAAAAAGTACAGTATCGATAGACGTACTGCAGAGTCAGAATTTTTCGATGTGAGAAAAACTAAAGAAATCCGCAATGCCCTCGCCTGGATTCGAAGTCCAGACCTCCCGATTACGCGTCGGTCGTGCTCTCTAGTTACACCACGAAGTACATACAAAGTTCTTACATATTGTTAATTATATTTTGGAGTTTTTCTCCTTATCAATGTGTCAAGATATGCTTACAAATTTACAACGATCCTCAACATACAGGGTGTTCAACTCTTGCCATCACTGCCGTGTTCTCCAGATCTCTCACCAGTTGAAAAATTATGGCCGTTAGTTACAGCAAGGCAAGGGCAACAACATCCGCGAGTCGCAGTAGATGAACGCTGGCAAGGAAATGAATGTCCCAAAATATTATTTAAAGTTTTTTCGATTCCTTTCCCAAGCATGTATTCGCTGCTATTATTATCAGAGGTGGATACTGAGATTGTCAGAGGTGGATTATTGTCAGAAGTTTCTGCATACTCTGTATCTCAAAATTACCTGGAATTGA